ATTCTAACAATTCATAATCTCTGCACAGGTAATCTAATCTGTCTCTGCATTTAGTTTATTGTTTCCAGTGTTTTAGACACGTATCTTTTCATTGTGTTGTAATTTGTTTTACTGTTTGGTGTTTGGAAAGCAGTGTTGTTGACAGACCAGCCAGAGTGTTTGAGAGGAGGCTCGACAGTTCTTTGTTGGTGATTTTCCATGCATGTGTAAAATGTTTCTGCACAGTTCTGCATGTAGAAATTCTGTCTGAGTAGACCCCAAACTTCGCAACCTTACAGAGCAATGGTCAGGATGACACTATCCAATATTTCAACCAGGAAAAAGTCATACCCCATCATACCACCTTTGTGCTGGTATGACAGGCCTTTTCCCCAGAAGACGTTTTAACATTTGTGACGGTAAGGAAGGCTCAGGTCTAAATAATGCAATGAATGCATGCTGGTCTGGTTTCAAAGTTTCCTCAAGTTACTGTCACTGATTTACTGTAACACGGTCGTGGCTCATGACAACTGGCATATCTCTGTCAAAACAACTTATTTAATCTTCAGTAAATGCAGAACCGAGTCTCTTTGGCGATCTGCCCATAATTCTCTGATAATGATACTTCGGAGCTGAGAGTGACACATGCACAATATTCCCGATAGTCATCTCTGTCCTCTCATGGGAAAAGTACAGCAAATGGGAATTTTGTTTAGCTCTGCAGCTTCTAAACGGCACTGGTGGTTTGCCACCTTTGGTTCCTCTTTCAACAACAACAAACAAACAGAATATTAAGCAGTTTTAAATGATCTGTGCTGATCTATGGGAAAACATACATTTACAGTGTTTTACAACTATAAGGAGGTAAAAGGAAAGATGATACAACTACAAACAGATCAGGACCGAAAAGAGGTGACTGGAGAAGAAACGCTTAGTGCATCGTGGTCCCCCAGAAGTCTGAGTGTGTCACAGCATAAGTACGTGAGGGTTCATATTCACCTGATTCAACAAAATTAGCAAATTCAAAAATGAACATTTTAAGGCTAATTATGAAAGTATACAGGGTGTATGGCTTGTGAAGCTAAACTGACAGATGGGTTCAGAGAAGAGGGGCCTGAAGGCTCTATCTCCCATTCTGCTTTTAAAAACTGAGAGTCTGAGAGTGCTCTGTAGGAATAATATAAAACTGCGAGGTCTGATTCAGGACGTTATATGTAAGCAGAAGGATTTTAAATAAAATTCTACATTCAACAAGAAAACAATGATGAGAAGCTAAAATGGGAGGAAAACTGTCTCTTTTCTAGTCTCTTAGAAGTATCACTGTGGTGTTTTGCACACAGTGAGAGCTCTATTTGGAAGTTTTTTCAGGAAGGTTTTGGAAGATGGTAATAAATAGTAATCAGAATAGTCCAGACCTGAAAAGAAAACAAAGTGCATGGACTAGCTTTTCAGCATGAGTCTAAGACAGGATGTTTCTAATTTTAGTAATATTGTGCAGAAAAAAAATCTACATATTTGTTTAATTAAGTCATGTGGCTACAACCGTAGCTTGCCTCCATCAGTATGTGAATGCAAGAGTGAATGAATAGTGGCATTGTAAAGCGCTTTGGGTGCCTTGAAAAGCGCTATATAAATCCAATCCATTATTATTATTATTATTATTATAATGTGTGAGTTAAAGGACATATCATGATTAAATATGACACCAAAGAAATGTGAGTCAGTGTGAGGGTCTCATTTCAAATTTATTTCTCATATTTTTAGGGCCTAGCACAATAAACTCAGTGCTGTCTATATGTTAAGCCTCTCTGAAATGAATGTAATGAATTCAACCATAAAAAGGCACCTAACTGAAAGAATGAATCAGTCTTGTGTCTACACATAACAGAAAAAAATAGCAACAAATCATTTTAAATTGCATCTTAAATTTGTAGTCTTGCAGCCCGTTGATCATTTCTTCACATTTCTTTAGTTGAGTTTATGAAATTTTTTTTTTTAAAAAAAATCAACCAATTCGGCAGGCACCAACAAGGTCATTCCCAAAAAACTATTGATTGAAAGCTTGGCATATTTTGGTGTGGTGTACAGTTTGTCCTTAAGAAATTGAGGAAACACGACAAGTACAACGCGAAGAAGTGGAAAGTCTAAAAACTATCTACAGCAGATAAACAGTATGTGAAAATCATGTCGTTGAGAATGGATGGTTGTCAAGAAGCCACTCTGAAGGGATGTAAACACAAAAGTATATACCAAGTTCTAGAGTATTTAAAAAAATTGACTTAACAGCGTGTACAAAAGAAGTCGGGAGAACGGTACAACAGGGTTTTTAACATATGTCCATATTATGGCCCTAGATTAAAATGTTCTTAAGTTTGTGTGTTAAGAGTACACTTTTGTCGACTCCAGAGGAATTAAAGCCAAAAACTTCAGACCAATACGGTTTTCTCAAATGGAACACGTGACAAGAAAATTAATTTTGAGTTTGTTTTTGTTGCTTTTGCGTGTTGTGGGGGGAGGAGGCAACATCATTGCCAGGGTAGGAAGTATTGAAACCATGCCTTTAAAATAAAACAGTGTCTATTATTAGTGTCTAACCTGTATGCGACAATACCTGTACTTTTATTTTAAAGGCATGGTTTCAATACTTCTGTTAGGTGACGGCTGTGTGCGGACAGGGATAGGACCCAAGATGCAGACTCCAGAGACAAACTTAAACCAAAACAGCTTTAATGCTGAACGCAAACATAACATAACTGGAAAAAAACTCAAAATAAACCCGGCCAGGCGGGAGGCACCGGCAGCGACGTAGTTCAGGGGGCCGTCCATGACGGCGGCGTAGGTCAAGGAGCCGGCCATGACGGCAACGACGTCCAGTCATCGGCCGGACAGGACATGCAGGACGAGCAGGATGTGCCAGATGTGCAGGCCGGACAGGACGTGCAGGCCCAGACGGCATGGGGACCCCAGGCGCAGACGAAGCTAAACACTCGGAGGCCGGACCAGGCGGCGCCGCAGAGGCTGGGGCCGGACCAGACGAAGCGGAAGCAGACACTGTGGGCGGTGTAGATTTAGAGTTTGCAGGTGGAGCCGGTGGTGGTTGAATGGCCGCACCAGAACCATCAGCAGACACTGGAATGTGCTGGCTGGGTCCTCCCGGACCCCCAGCCGACGAGGCAAGAGGCTGCACGGGCCCCTCGGACCCTACAGCAGAGTCAGGAAGCAGAACGGGCCCCTCGGACCCTCCAGCGGAGACAGGAAGCAGAACGGGCCCCTCGGACCCTCCAGCGGAGACAGGAAGCCAAACGGGCCCCTCGGACCCTCCAGCAGAACCAGTTTGCAGAACAGATGAAGTGGGTGTGATGTCAGAATGTCCAGAGTCAGAATGCTCAATAGTTCTGTTGTGGCGGCGGCCAGAACGCCGTTTCCTTCGGGATGAGGAAACAGGAACCGGTGGAGAAAAAGAGACCACCTCCTCATCCTCTGACCACATAGCTGCCAGAAAAAAGGCAGGTAAACGAGAACCCAGCTGGTGTGGGGAGGGAGAGGAAGTCCGTGGCAATGTTGAGACAGAAGGAGAGTGTGTGTTGTCCTGGGGTAACGGTGGGGAAGATGTAGAGAGTGAGAGAGCAAGCTCACCAGCCTTGACTTGCTCTCTCCAGGCAGTAATGGTGTCATCCAACTTAGTGTCCTTAGCAAACTGAGACAGCTGAGGGTTATGGCGAATGATGGCATCCACTGCATTCAGCCCGACTGCCATAGTCCGTAGATCCTGTGACTGGGCAATGCGGTCGAGCAGGCTTACCAGCCGCTCCGTCTCGCCATTGAACTCCGAGGAAAAGGAGTCTGCAGGGTCCACGTTCTGGTCGCGATCTTCTGTTAGGTGACGGCTGTGTGCGGACAGGGATAGGACCCAAGATGCAGACTCCAGAGACAAACTTAAACCAAAACAGCTTTAATGCTGAACGCAAACATAACACAACTGGAAAAACTCAAAATAAACTAACACCAGTGGACTAGCAAAACACACAGCAAAATAAACAGTAGATCACGACATGGATACAGAGAAACACAGGGCTTAAATACACAGAGGGAGCAATCAGGGAATGAGTAACAGGAGGGAAACACAGCTGGGGAAAATCAGGCCTAACGAGACCAGGGGAAGCAAAACCAGACACATTAACATCAGACATGGACTTCCAAAGTAAAACAGGAAACATAACACAGACTCACAGGCAGGCACTAAAACAAAGGGAACAGAGACGTGGGACCAGGGCAGACACAGACACTGACTGGACGTGGAAATACAGCAGACAGGAAAGACAGCAACAAAGGAACAAAGACAGAAAACCAAAACACTAAAACTCTAACCAAACCCCACCCAGAGGACCTTAACTAAGAAAAACCCGTAAAGCAAAGCTAGAATATAATGAAATAACAAAATCAAATTACCAAAAACACAAAACACTGGGTCACTGACCCAGGAACCCTAACAACTTCCTACCCTGGTCGTACCTCCGGTTCCCACTGACACTTGGAAAAATAAGTGTTGCGAATGTGAAACAAACACAAGAGAAGTTTTCTGTCCTTCAATTGTTCTTGTTCTGTGCTAGATATTTTCATTTTTATATGAAACTTTATTGTTTTGTTATTTCAATATAGGGTTAAAGCTTATCATCACTTATTTTTGTTTTTGAAATTCTCTACTGTTACTGTGATTGTAACTGCTCACGAAAGTGTAAAGAACAACATAGTTTATTTGCAAACATTGCTTATTTAATCTGTCCAAACTCCAAAGTGTACTTTGAGTAACACGACAGTTGTTATTATTCAGTGGAACATTCGTTTTCTTTAATATATTTTTTTATATATAGCATGTAAAGAAAGGCTTTTGGAAACAGCACAGATCATTGAACTTAATTTCGCTCTTTGGATCTCTTGACATGAGCGTTAGGTATTTTATTTTGAAAACAAAAGCGGAACTCGTTTCTTCTTGCGGATCGTTTTCACACTCAGACGGAAAGTCTGCTCCTCAGATGAGCTTGGACCATGGGGGAAGCTACAGCTGGATGGAATCTTTTTCTTCAGCCGACACAGTGAGAAAAAGTAACACTGACAACGTGTAACAACCGAAAGTAACGCCGACACGGAGCAATAATGCTCTCACACATTCAACAAGTAAACGAAGCAGTGGAAGTTTCTTCTGCCAAAGTGAAATAACCCACAATCCGCAAGAGGTAAGTAAGTTTAAAGTTCAGCTGCGTGTTCTTTGTGTGGCTGCTGTGCACGAGTCAAAGGTCTTTTTGTTTTTTTGTTGATTATGTTCCGCTTCGAAATTCAGATGTAATTCTTTCCGCCAAGAAAAGCCGGCAAACTCACAGTTTCTCTAACAAAGCAGCGTTCTGTGAATCCTGCGGGACGTGTTGTACAGCTTAAACACCACCTGTCGCGCGGCGTTTTCCTGTGCCCAGTCCACAGAAAGCCTCCGTACTTATTTCACGCATGTTTAGAAAATACACGGTGTTCAGTGAAAACACACGGAGCAAACTATGTCATTTAGATAAGTCTTCAATCTTATAAATAAATAAATAAATGTGCAGTATTTACAGTAGCCCCTGCCTTCAGCCCATTATCACCGCTTCCCTTCAGTCCGCGGTCAGCACTCCTAATTAAATACAGATTTATCGATGCATTTTGATGTCTGTTCATAACGTGTTTTCAGCGTTGTTTCAAGTTGCAGGGATATAACGAGTAAGATTACTTATCATAAAGTAGTTAATGGGTCCCTCTACGTTATTACTGGGAAGGAGTTCGCTACAACAAGTACAGCAAAATGAGCTCTGAATGATCATGTAAATTTGTTCTCCAAACTCACGTAGCCCGAAGCATCAGAGTGTTATTTCAGCTCGGCTCACAGATCCACTCGTGTGTTTTGTGGCTCAGTTGTCTCCCCCCCCCCCCCCCCCCTCTTTGGCTGCTGAATGTTTCTAGCTCACAGGCTGGCATATTGTCTATTGTTTACATGGTAATTGGACTGCTGTCTAAGAGTTCTAGCTGTGTAACCGTACTCATCATCCTCAGCCTATAACATCATATCATCCTTCTCCTGACTGTCTTATTTTCCTTGAAGAAGGTTTGTGTGTGGGGGGGTGGGGGAGTATTTCCTGGTACCGGTCAGGATCCTGGTTTTCCAATCTCCTCAGAAATCTGCTAATGTGCTTAGTGCTCAGGACCCGAAGCAGTTGCTGTACCTCAAACCTGAGTCACAGGGCAGGAATTCAGTTTGTTGTTGGAGTACCACAGTTATGAGAAGAGATATAGAAAATATGTATTTTAATTCTTTAAATATGCAGAGAGAGGTATGATTGTGGTCTTTGATGAAGCGTCACCATCACAGAAAACCACTCTCCTTCCACTTAGGTAAATATAGGTAAGTATTTCTCATCAGAGGCTGGAAAAGCAAGAAAAGGGAGTTTCTCTTTGAGGAATGAAACCAGTTCTTTCAGAAGTGCTTTCATACCAGAGTGTGACATAATAAAGAACAAGACGCCAATCAGTGTGTTACTGTCATTCTGACTTAATTTAGATATTGTTGACAGGTAACTTGACATTTCATATAGGTCCTGCTGGTCCCACTCTTGTCATACTGAAGCTAAAACCTGGTTATAACAGAGTACTTACTGCCAGAAATAGGACTGCTTAATTATGGCAAAAAAATCTGAACTATTTCTGTCATTATTACAATCCACATTACCCATTATCAGTGTTGTCCTCGACCCTCATCCCCATGTCTTCCATACTGAACAAAAGCCCAGGTAAATACAAGTTACTGCTGTTAAGCAAAGGTTGTACTAGCAACTCTTTCTTTAACCGGGACACCAGGGCAGAGGCCATGCAGACTTTGAGTGTTCTTCCTTGTCCTGCGTGCGTTCTCTCTGGCTTCCTGTCACAGTCCAAAGACCTGCAAGTTAGGTTAATGCTAAATTATCCGTTAATGTGCGATAGATGAAGTGAACAGAATAAAGTAGCATATGAATATATCTTTGAATATTTTTTCTCATAGCACTCCAAAGCACTTTTAGTGGTCACTAAAAAAGAGCTAAATAAATGCCAGTCCGTTTCCAGATTTAAGCTGTGATGACATTAGGCCTCATCTGCAAGCATTTACCTTCAACTTCCAAGAAGGCACAAGTCTGCAGTCACATTAACAGACGAGATTCTGTTTCAGTGTTCTTTGCTAACTTAGGTCTTTAAACAAGGCAGGCAAGTGGCAGTGCTTTTGAAACCTGTACAGAATGGCTCTGCCTTCAAACAATTCTTGGACTTCCAAATATTTAAATTTGCATTTTTACCAGTGCTTAGCTAAAAGGTAAATGGACTGATTCTTATATAGCGCCTTTTACTCTCCCGGACTACTCAAAGCACTCTATACAACATGCCACATTCACCCAATCACACAAGCACTTTCTTTCTATGCTTAGTGCTTCCTAACTTCATTCATACACATTCACAGAAACTTGGGGTTAGTATCTTGCCCAAGGATACTTGACATGTAGACTGGTGAAGCCTGGGATCGGACCTTCCAATCAGTAGGGGACAGCAGGGAACCTGTAGATGTCTGCAGTACTATGTCAGATGCTGCATAATTAGTGGTCAGGTATGTTTAGTGTATAGAAAATATACATAGTGTACTTATGTATACTCTTATACATAAGAGAAGGTGTGTTGGTTGAAAATAATGGGGACAGAACCTGTATTGTTGAACCTGAACTGTTTACTCGTCACATGGTAACCTAAAAAGCTGACGTGCAAAATGATTATATTTTTGCATATCAGCGGGCGTACATATGAAAGGTAAATTGTACTTTTCTCCTCAGGTTTCAGAGAACTTTTTACTAGATGGCACGCTACCGATACTGATACCGATATCATAAATTTGGATATCTGCCGATACCGATATGACTCCAATATAGTGTATTTTATAGTCAGTAAAACTGTTTGTTTTTTATCTTGCTGCATTTTGTATAAGTTCATACTCAGGTTTTAAAAAACAAAACACTAAAGCTATTCTGTTATACCTGTATGCAAAAACACACTGCACCCAAAATATTTCATAGTTCAGCAAAACTGATCAATCTAATAAACTTGAACCTGCACCATCCTCCCTATTCTGGTATTCTAAAAAGTACGTAGTGGAAATATTAAACAACTTAATTAATAGGGTTGCCAATGTCAAGCAAAAAAAATTTTGAACCACCCCCCACCTCATGATGCTTCATCAACGTAATCGACTTTAATGCACGTGTAAAACAAATGCACAGAAATCAATTATATTTCTACAATAATTACATAAATTCAACATCTTTCTTCAACAGAATTGCAGACTGCACGGATGGTACCTTCCCAAAGGAAAAAGTACTGTAGGTTCTAGGGTAACCTACTAGGGTATATATTAGACTCATAGTTACTATATACAATAATGGATTTCTATACATTTTGCATCAGATGAAAACTTTGGTTGTAAGATTCAGATTTTTTTTTTAACTAGACATGAGAATAATAAATAAAAGTATTTCTTTGTGCCCCCCTCTCCCTGTTAATGCCCTACCTGGCCCCCTGGCAAAACTTTGCTAGACGCGCCCCTGCACAGTTACCAGCTGTCAGCTACGTAGAAAAGATCCTGGTGTAGAAAGTAATATTAAATACATTCTAACAACAGCTTATCAAGCTAAACCAGCTGCTGTTGATTCTTATTTTGGACAACAAAAGGGGCATTAATAAACGTCTTTGCTATTTAGTGCACAATATTTGAATAAACTAACAACATCCACCAACATAGAACTGTGGCAGTCAGTGCAACTGAGGTAGGTATTAACATCAAGTCTAAGACGACTCGCTTAATGGAGCCTATTTAGAAAAAGTGAGTGGCAGGTTTTTTTTAAGAAAAGTAGCTTTTCTGCATGATCAGCAGCCAGCCTGTTTCTGTTTTCATCTATAATGTGTGACACTGAGCTAAAAAGCCTGTCACTTTCCACACTGCTACATGGGGCTGAGAGGTATTTATGGGCCATTTTAGCCAAAGTGGGGAACCTGATTTTGTTGACACCCCAGTACTTCAGAGGACTGTCTTCACGAGGGCTCGGGGCCTCTCCGAGGTATGTGTCGAGCTCAATGGCAGCACCTGGTGCCAGCGGCTGTGCTGCCTGGGGCTGCTCCTTAGCGATTTCGTCAAATACAGTGTCCAGACTGCTGCTAGTGCTGGCCTGGGCCTTGAGGAACAGTTTAGCAGGAGGTTCTGCAGTTTCTGCCCGACTCCCCTCTGCCTCAGCTCTGGACATCATCTGCAGCTCCTGCTTCAGGTGCAGCTTGGCCTCCGGAGCAGTGTTGTTGGAGAAGAAGCGATCTTTATACCTGCACAAAATTCATGAATGTATTAATATGTGGAAAAATAGGACTGATTTTAGTTTCCCCTAAACCACTGTCACAGATGCCAGCCATTTGACTTTCTGGTAGTAATAAGGGAAATATATTTCATATTATATATATTGCATACATTTGTATTTGTGTATTTTAGTTACAAAAATATAATATTTTCAGATGGAAATTAATCTTACATTTAGTGCTGTAGTTTATCATTGAATACCTATAGCACACAGACTTTACCTTGGGTCAAGTATGGTGGAGATGAAGTCTCGACGTCACTGAAGCGCTTCGTGACAGCTGCCTGTAAGGTTGCTTTCATTGTCTTGACGCTGTGGTCCTCGTCTGTTTCTCTGTTTAGAAGTCTCACTAGCACAGTCACAGCTGGGATGACATCAGAGGCTAGTGCGTCGTAGCTGCTCACTTTTTTAGTTGGTTCCTCAAAGGGGGCGAGGATGGCAACAGGCGTCTCCATAAGAGCCCATTGGTGAGCGGCGAGATAGTCAGGGAGTTCGTGCTCGGACACATACACGCCCAGCACTCGCTTTTGCTCTATGAGGGACTGGAGCATGTAATACGTCCTGCTGCGGTCTCTTTATTGGCTGGTTGAGCTGTCCCTGAATGTCCTCGAGGCGGGAGTAGACTAAGGTGGAATGTTTAAAATGCCACACTATTTTCCGCCGCACTGCTAAAGCATCAGCTATGCTCCTCTGTGCTAATAAGCCCTCACAATTATGTGATCTAACAGTGTACCATTTCTTTTACATCACAGAAATGGTTGTAGCTCTGGGAATTACCCAGTTATGACAAAATATTT